GTGACTTCCTGTTAACTCATATTCCAAAAGCATTATCTAAGCCATTCCATGTTCACTCTTTCCTAGTTCCGAATTCATCTATTACGCTGCGTTTCCATAGGCTTGTTCAAAGAGCCAGGATTTTACTTTTTTTCGAAATGTCAGTAGGAAGGGGGCCAATCTAATATCCCTGGGGAGGGAGTTCCATAACTGAGGGACCACCACTGAGAAGGCCCTCTCTCTCACCTGCGACGAAGGTGGGATTGAGAGCAGGGCCTCCCCAGAAGATCTTAAGTTCCTAGCTGATTCATAAGGAGAGATACGTTCGGACAGGTAACCTGGGCCAGAACCGATTAGAGCTATAAGCATCCAATCCTGTCTCATCTTGGAAACTAAGCAGAGTCAGTTCTTGAGGCCATCAATGGATACTAAGTGCTGTAGCCTATATTTTAGATAAAAGAAATAGCCAAACCACCCTTGTCTAAGGGTGCATTTGCACCGTGGAATTAATGAAGCTTGAGATCATTTTTAACAATCATGGTTGAATGCAATGAAGTCATGGAAGTTACAGTTTGGTGAGGCACTAGCACTTGTTGGCGGAGAAGGTTCAAGCCCTTGTAAACCCCCTTTTAAACCTACAACTCCCAGGATTCCAAAGAATTGAGCTAAAGTGGTAGTTAAAGTGGCATCAAACTGGATTGATTCTACAGTGCAAATGCACTCTAAGAAAGCCCTATGACAGGGAACTTGAAGGCACACACACCCCACACTCTGCAGCTGGTGTTTGCTCAGCAGTTGTCTGATGCTCAAAAGGGCTGCTCAGTTGACATGCCTTGGTCAAAGAGATACCCCCCACCCCCGGACACTTGTGCCACCCTAGCAACTGTAGTCACAGATAGGGAAACACAAAGATTAAAATATCCCCCAAAGAAGTGCAATGAAGCAGGGCAGAGTTACACAGAGATTCACAACCAACCTCTGACAACTATAATTATCCAAACACGACACGGAGGCAGGAACTCCAACCAAGCAGCCTCCAGGAATGCTCTGATGCGTCTGTAGTATGAATTAATGTGTAAAATGGAAACTTGTGATGCATTCAGCAGCTGCTATGATTGCTGAAGTAGATATATTTAGAACGATATCCTGGTGACACCCTTAGTACCATATATACTAATGAGAAGTCGACCTCATGCATAAGTCAAGGGTAAGTTTGTGGGCCACAATTGTGGATTTTTATATCACTTGTGGATAAGTCAAACTTCATTCCAGAGAGAAAGGAAAGCACCATTTTCACCATTTTCTTCCCCAGGCATTAAAATAGATCAGAAGCAGCACCACAATGGAGAGAGTAAAAGGGGTGAGTGCTTCTTTTAGGTTCTCCTGGATGGATTAGATTTTGCCTTTCACCACACTATCCACAGAAAGGATTGGTTCTTTTTCTTTCTTTCTTTCTTTCTTTCTTTCTTTCTTTCTTTCTTTCTTTCTTTCTTTTTGATAGAGTGCATACTTATATTGATTTATGGACAAGTCAGCCCAGGTTTTCAGAATAGATGGTTTGACTAAAATTTCAGATGCATACATGAATATGTATAATAGTTAAGAAAAAGCAAAGAGACTTTGACTTTTTTTTAAATGTCAGGAGTGACTTGAGAAGCTGCAAGTCGCTTCTGGTGTGAGAAAATTGGCCATCTGCAAAGAAACTTTGCCCAGGGGATGCCCAGATATTTTAACATCCTGTGGGAGATATTTTAACATCCTTATCTCATGTCTCTGCATGAGAAGCTGGAGCTGACAGATGGGAGCTCACCTCGCTCCCCAGATTCAAACAAGGGATTAACCCATTTTGCCACTGGGGGCTCCTACCTACACTGACGTATACTCTTGTGGCCACATGCAATGCTAGTCTCATTGTTGCTCTAAAACCTATTTTTAAAAAAACAGATGCCTAGTGATGCCAAATGCCAGTAGCATGTCTCCATCTAGGTCTACAATAAGTTTAAAGACTTCCAGACACATTGGCCTGTGTTTCTTATTTTAGCAATAACTATTTCTTATATACCACACTCTTTGCCAAGCCTATGAATATTCTCACTATGGAAACATATGTGGACACTTGATACCTGAAAACTTCAGTCAGCCGAATTGGACTCAGTTTCTGCCTAAAAAAGTCAAGAAAGCAAAGTCTATTGTTGGATACATTCTCTTGCTTTAAAGGTCTGTGCTACACTTAATCAGAATTTCATTTAAATAACTTTGTAGTAGAGTCTATCATTTAACCATATGAACCACTTTGCGGTACAGCCAATCAGTCATTTTGTCTTCAATAATGTACAAAAAATAGTTTGTTTTCAGGTTTGGGAAATCTTTTCTAATCGTGGAAACCAGTGGTCCTCCAGTGCAACTTGATGCTCAACTAGCATACATACTGGCATTGCCCTAATATGTCAGAGAGGTTGCTGCTGTTTCTATCCCTTCTTTCCCTTTCCTTGCCTCCGCCACACATGCAAGTATGGAGAAGAGCAAATCTCAGACCACCTATTACAATGCAGTCGGAGCCCTGCCACATGAACAATGGAGGACCTCATTATAGCAACACCAGAGGCACTCCAAGTGGCCAGTTACTGGTCAAATGACATTTAATATAATGCCAAGTTTTTAAACTTTGTATTTTTTTAAATTACATTACAACTGTACCCTTGGTTTGCTTCTGATATGATAAATAAATGCCTCTTCTCATACATTTTCCCTTTCACTTTCTCTTCTTTCCTTCCCACCCCAACCCTCTCTTACTTTTTTCTCTATTCCCTTCCTCCCTTCCTTCTCCTCCCTCCCTCCCTCCCTCCCTCACTCACTCATTCATCCCTTTTCCTTCTCCAGCTCTGAGAGGACCAACCTCACAATATCTCCATGGCTCTCATGGAAGCTCGTCCCCCCCCCTCCCTCCTTCCTTCTTTCCATACATATATGTATGGAAAGAAGAATCAAAGAATCAAAGAGTTGGAAGAGACCTCATGGGCCATGTCAGGGGTGATTTGAATGCAATGTTCCTGCTTCTTGGCGGGGGGTTGGACTGGATGGCCCATGAGGTCTCTTCCAACTCTTTGATTCTATGATTCTATGTCACCTTTCTTTCCCAGAGGGTCACTTCACCTAGCAACATCCTTGGTGGAATAAATCCATAAACATACATTGACTTTTATTTACATAGATCTGTGCCTGCAGTTGAGCCTACAGTTGTGCTGGATGACCTATAGCAGATCTGCACTACTTGCAGCCCTCCAGGTGGTTTGAACTTCAACTCCCAGAATTCTTGGCCATTGGACAAGCTGGCTAGAGCTTTTGGAAGTTGGAGGTCCAAATATCTGGAGGGCCACAAGTTGTGCAAACCTAACTTAGGGATTTCTAGAGGAATCTCTCTCTAGGAGTCTCTAGGTCCTCCAGCACAACTACAGTGGAAGTTGGTCATACAGTCACATGGAAGGATCTAGAGATAATAATAAAATCCCCAAAAGTTAAAACACCAAATCTGGAGAGTCAAGTATAGTCATGAAAGGAATCAATCATGTAGTTTTTGCTTACTCTTCTTTAAAGGAACCCACATAAATTTCCAAGGACTCCAATTTCACCTCTAGATGGGAACAGAATCTGACATATCAGAGCCGGTGTGAGCTATGCATCCACAGCTCTGCCTAACTGTACTTACGACTTGTCTCTTCGGCAGGCCCGCCTCTGAGGACTGGCCTGTCTTCTTCGGGGAGACAAGGACTTTCCTCGTGACCTCTGCTTGACTGGTGAATGGGCACTTGCGGGCTTCAAAATCTGCAAGAGGACAATTAGTTAGATAAGAAAAGTTTTCCTTTGCAATGGCTTTCATTTTCCAGATAAAAGATACAATGCATGGTTGACGAGCCTTATAATAAGTCATGAAATATTTGCATTTTATAAACCTCCACAGCAATGTTTTGAATACTTAGAATCCATACTTGTATATTGCAGAATGGCTTCCAGAATTCCTTGAAGAAAAGAGGGTTGGGGGATTCTACAAGTTTTACTGTAGTCCAAAAAAGTAACATTTCCAAATGAAAACTGGGACAAGCATGCCAAAGCAACATTAGAGGGTAGTCAAGATGGCAGAAGTAATCCAACTGAATTGAATCATTTTATTCTAATTGTGCTATTGCACAATGAAATTAAATGCCTTCCCTAGCATGCGCCACAAAACAACATACCCATCCCTCCAAAGTTCTTACAAAAAGGGCAACCAATGATTCCCTGTGCAAAAGTGGTGACCCTTCCTATCTGCCACTGTGCAGTTACCAAACCATGTGCAGATGCAGTAGGTTATTATACTCTCTATAGCACAGTGCTAGAAAGTTACCAGTGGTTTTTCATTCAGTTGTTGGTTCTTTAGAAGTCTCAGGTAGTACCGTCTCTGCTGGGCCTTCTTCACCAACACCGCCATGTGAGTGCCCCAAGTCAGATCCTCCTTCACAGTGACACTTAGGTACTTAAACTGGCCACCTGCTCCACTTGGTCTCCATTTATGACCAAGGGCTGGATTTCTGGTCTGTTCGTTCTATAGTCCACTATAAGTTTCTTGGTCTTACTGATGTTAAGAACCAGTTAATTGTCCCTGTACCACGAGAGCAGTCGATCCACCTCATTCCAAAGGCAGATTCATCTCCTTCAGAGATAAGCCCCACCATGGTTGTATCATCTGTGAATTTGGTAATGATATTGCTATGGTGGACAGGGGTACAATCATAGGTGTACAAAGTGTAAAGCAGAGGACTCAGCACATAGCCCTGTGGTGTCCCAGTGTTGAGAGTGAGAGCTGACGAGGTATGATTACCTAATCTAACCCTCTGGGAACATTCAGAAAAGAAGTCCATAATCCAGGAACAGATTGAATATGTCAATCCTAGATCCATAAATGTAAACACCAGTCTATGTGGGAGGACTGTGCTAAACGAGGAACTATAGTCTGTCAAAAGCATCTTTACATAGTTCCCCCATCGTTTCAGGAGGGTCAGAACAATGAGGCATCATATGCAATTTAGGGGAGACTTGTTTTCACCTGAACCTACTGGGAAAAATAAGACTCACCTCCTCCTCTCCTTACTGCTGAATTAACTGAGTGTGAAGTATATGTTTTGTAATAAGTTTACACCAACTGAAGTAAACTAAGGACAAATAAAGAAAGTGAGAAAGAGAGTGTAACTGGGACACTTGAAAAAGTAGGATGATAGAGGATTAATATGCTAAACTGGGACAGTTGGAACTAGGTATGATGCTAATCTGCTGCTGCCACTCCTATAACTGCATCTCTTCCAATGATCAACACCACTCCCTGCCTAATCCCCCAACACTACTGTTGCCACCTGCTTAGCCTTTGCCTTACCTGAGAGTGAGACAGAAAGTAAACAAACCCTGTGGAGATCAACACCATTTTCCATAGAGCTGGACAGTCCCGTATACAAGGCTCTCATAGCTCATACCTTAGAGCCACACCTAGTAGCAGAGTACCATGACTATATGGACTGCATCAGATAGACTTCTAGCTCCATTTCCATGCACTTTGGAAATAGAGCCCCACGGGAGTCCCACAGAGGTCATCACATGGCATAAAGCCACTTCCACAGCACACAGAAATGGAGCCAGAAGTCCATCTGGCAAGGTCCATAGAGCCTACAAGGTGTGGCTCTAAGGTATGACCTCTGTGGAAAACGGTGTTTAACCTGAGAGAACATCTTTCTAGGGTAAGTCCTCTAGTATGACTCTATGGTTAATGCCTACCAGGCACTAATTACAGAACCACACTTGAAGACCTCGGTGTTCTCTATGGGAATCTAGGTCTAGCAAAACTCAATAGAGTCAATGTCCAGTGGAAACTGAATACAGAATTGCATGGGAAGCCCTACAGCAGAGGTTTCTAAACTTTTCATGGTGGTGACATGCTTTTTAGACATGCATCTTTTTACGACACGGTGATTCAAATTTACTGGCAATGTGTGTGTATCATATAATTTTTGCTGTACAAATGGAGTTTGAATTTTTTCCATAGCACTTATGTACTACAGTTGATTCTTGTGTAGTTTTCTCTAGAGCCGCTCCATGTGGTTCATCACAACCGTAATTCTCAACAGATTTTTTTCTTAATTAGAAACTTACCTATGTTAGTGCCAATTACTGCAACTCAATCAACTAACTGTGCAAATTATAAAAGTTATAACAGTACCTACACTTGAACAGCACCAGCCTTTCTTTGTGGGGTGCGGGCATTTTTCACACAACACACCTAGGGACTACAGGCAACACATTAGTGTGTCCTGACACACAGTACAGAAAGCTCTGACCTAGGGATATCCGGAGAGAACATTTAAATCAAATTTGTGAATAGCCATAACTATGAAAGTCAAACTCACAAATCTGAAGAGCCAACTGTACATGACATGATTTAACTAGGACTCTCCACATCCCATCAAAGAAATGAAACATACCTTCATTCTCATATCCCTGGCATATTTCTCCAACTCCTTCCTGATCTCAGAACGCATCATCTTTGACATGTTGAGGACCAACTGCCTCCACTCGATGGGCTGAAAGCTGTGTGGCTCATGAGGGACGTACAATCCAATTTTCACTTTCTTCACCGAGTGCAAGTACCTTTTATAAGACTCTTCAAATTCAAAGATGAGGTCACTGAGAGTTCGGTAGATCAACGGTTTGTCCATCAACTCTGATCTTCGGCTCATGCCCAGCGATCCGTATCGGCCATTGAAATAAATTCCAAGCACCACATGATGAAAATTGTTCCCTGAGAAATGGGATTTAAAGCTGATTGGGAATCGTTCCACGGAAGGCTGCCCATTAGTTAAATATCTGGCAAGGCTGAAGTCAAGGCAACGACACATGAAGATTTGCAAGGGAAGGAAACGTTTCCTATGATGAGTACGATAGTCAAAAAGAATTTAACAATTTATTAAATTGTAAAGCAATAACATCAAACAAATCTAACTATAATGCTTTCCAAAATTATCCCTCTCCACCTTCAGCAATCAATTCTTCAACAAGAATTCAGGAATTCAGGGACAATTTCATCCTAGATTGTATGTGTTTCCTCCACCACAGACATCCCAATGTTTCTTATTCTCTCCATTGGTGTGGAATTTGCAAGATCCTGCCCACTGCCTCTCCCTTAACCCTTTCCTATTCTTTTCAACTCTGTCTGTACAATAAACAGAGCAGAACTAATCAGCAACTAAACATACTGGAGGAATTTGGGGGATTGACTCCACATGATGTAAATTGTAGTTTACCCTGCATCAAGTCAGAGCACTGTGACCCCCTACTGACAATGGACCTGGGCCACATTTGGCACACAGAACGCCCATAACTTAAGAAAAATACTGGCGAGGTTTGGGGGAATTCACCTTGATTTATAGCCATTGTAGGTACTGGGATTTATAGTTCACCTGCAATCAAAGAGCACTTTGGATCCCACCAACAATGGTCCTGGACATAATTTGGCACACAGAACCACCATAATCAACTGAAAATACTGGAGGAGTTTGGGAAAAACAGATCTTCATTTTTGGAAGTTGTAATTTACTTACATCCGGAGACACTGTGACCACCACCAGTGATGGATCTGGACCAAACTTGGCACAAAGAACCCCTATGACCAACTGAACCTACTGGAGGGATTTGAGGGGAATGACCCACCATGGTGGGAGCTGTAGTTTATCCTTCAGTCAGAGATAACACTGAACTCCACCAATTATATATCTAGAGCAAACTTACCCAACATGACAAACTTTAACTACTGATGGAGCTTCAGCGGGTTAACCTGGCATGATGTGAGCTGTAGTTCACCCACAATCTTATGCATTTTGTAAAATAAAAAACGACTTTTTAAAAATAACACTGGGTACCCAAGCAATAATTTAATAAAACTAATATGCCTCCTTACAGTTTAGTTTTTCAAGTAGCAGCTGCAGTTCTTTGAGGAACATTAAGATAAGTTAATGTAAAACCCAAATCACAGCTACTGCTCAATGTCTATTGTGTTTCTTTTCTATGTAACTGACTCCAAGGTCTTCCATCCCTTTTGTTAGCTTCTATCAATATTTTCATGCAGTGAATTATCTACTGGAATTGCTCCCCGAAATACAAAAGAGTTGTAACTTCCTTTGATGCTCTCTGATAAGCTTATACAGCTGTTCCCTGTTCCCAGCTGCCCTCCTCTGCCACAGGCCACTAAGGCACTGCAATTTAATCTCATTAGCGCTAAGAGGGAGAGAAAAAGTCCTTTGGAGGAAAGCCTTGCATACTATCACATTCCACAGAAACAAGGGCTGGGGAAGGAAACCTGACATATGAAGCTCTGTAACCAAATGCAAGTCAGTTGCTTTAGGTCATTCCTTTTCTTTTCTAGGAACATGCACCTGTGTATTTTTAAAAGCTGTACAACAGGCATCATCGCAACATGGAAAGCACATCTCAATATTGCATGTATGAGATGCAGCATGGAATCATTCTTTAAAGGTGAATCATCTGCCAATGCAATCCTATGCATAACAATTCAGAAATATGTATTGTCGAAGGCTTTCATGGCTGGAATCACTAGGTTCTTGTGGGTTTTTTTCGGGCTATATGGCCATGTTCTAGAGGCATTTTCTCCTGACGTTTCGCCTGCATCTATGGCAAGCATCCTCAGAGGTAGTGAGGTCAGCACTACCTCTGAGGATGCTTGTCATAGATGCAGGCGAAACGTCAGGAGAAAATGCCTCTAGAACATGGCCATATAGCCTGAAAAAACCCACAAGAACCTAATTCAGAAATATATTCAATTACTGTAAATGGAGACTCAGGATGCTGACACCACTTACTATCATGGCTCAATGCTATTGCATCTGGGGAGATGTAATCTGGTAAGACACCAGCACTCTTTGGCAGAAGAGGCTAAAGAGCTTGTAAAACTACATGAACCATGGCAGTTAAAGTGGTATCAAATGACATTAATTCGACTGTGTAGATGCACCCTTACTCCCAGGTGAGTGGGTATAGGCTCACATGCTTTTAAAAAATCCTACCCCGATTAAGATATTTTAGATTTATAGGCATGTATGGTGCCTCAATCTCTCATTCACAGATGTGCCTTAAGTAGAAGCTGACTTGACAGCAAAAAACAACAAATCTCCATAAGGAATGCTTATGTTAAGCTCTGATAATGTCTTCCTCTACCAACACAGCCTTGAACGGTTCAGTGAATTTCCTACACTCATAAAGCTATATTTCAGAGGCATCTAGACCAAAAAGAGAGTGCAGTAAAATATAATATGACATACAGATTACAGAAATGATTTTTTTAAACTTGCTAAAGCTGGCAGTGCAAGCTGTCAAGCAACCCAATTAAAACGACTTCTCACTAATCTGCTCCACACTAGGGAAGTTCATTAACTAAATTTTATTTTTTTGGATTGGGTCTGTCCTAAATGCAAAAAACACCAAAGCCTGCCAGTTCACAGAAGTTAGCATGACCCATATTATATTCCAGAGTAGGAATGGGGTTTAAGAAGCTCAGTTATGGTTTCAACATTCAGAAAGCTGTCTTCTTGATTGCCAGCTGGATTGTAAATAACCACTGGCCTAGTCCCCTGTGGTGAAAGCACACTTTTTCAGATGAGCAATGCCTATACTAGAAGAGAGATGGGGCTTTCAAACACACTTTAAGGCTTTTAATATGCCAGCAATGCCTAGTTTGATTAAGTATTGCCTGAAAAGTGAAATCCACTAAAGGCACTAGATCATGTTTGAGAATTGAAGCTAAACAGTACTGGAACAGCAACAAAAAGCCCACTATAAGGTTCAGATATGTGAATGACACCTTCACCATTTGGAGCCATGGAGAAGAACGACTCAACAAGTTCAAGTACATGATGGTGCCATACAACACATAAAATGCAATACATCAACATACAAAATCAAAAACACAGTTACATAAAACCAGTCATATAAAATTAATGAAAGTATTAAAGAATGGTTGCCAAGTACTCAATGATGGTGATGATGATGATGATGATGATTTATACCCCACTTTTCTCTTTTGTTCGAGACACAAAGCACCAGGCCCTGTCTGATCTTGGAACCTAAGTAGGGTCAGCACTGGTTAGTACTGAATGGGAACCCACCAATGAATACCAAGTGCTGACGTCTGTATTTCAAAGCAAGGAACTAGCGAGACTACATCTGGGTATTCATAGAATCATAGAATCAAAGAGTTGGAAGAGACCTCATGGGCCATCCAGTCTAACCCCATACTGCCAAGAAGCAGGAATATTGCATTCAAATCACCCCTGACAGATGCCTATTCCTTGCCTAAGAAAACCCTATGGAAGTCATGGGGTCACCATAAGTAAATAAGTGATTTGAAGGTAGACATACTCACACAGAGTCACACTTTTCAGAATAATATATGTAAGAAAATAAACATCTGATCTTAATTCTTGCTTTCCTCCTATGTTACTTTTTTAGAAAAATGTGTTGACATTTTTGAAAAGACTATGAATTGACATAAAAGTTTCCTTACATTGTTTTCAAAGTGTGTATGGAAAAAGCGTCCCACTTCCAGCAATCAACATTTGTATGTCAACTTACCTTTGACTAGTATTACTAAGCATTCAGTTACCACTTCAGTAACCCTTTAAGGGACTTAACAACAATCGTATACATAAAAGGATACATCCCCAGGATAACTGCTTCAAGGCATTTGATAGGTAATGATTCCCTGGTCATTTCTTTTGCCGATTCCATTAACCTAAGAAAATAAGGGAGGAAGAGAAAGCTGAACGAATTATTTGGAGCCAAGAATTATTTTTCTGAAAGTTGCTGTCGCATCCAGTCATTGAGGGATTTGTATCTAACTTCCATGGAAGAAAGAGATCATGGGTCATAGCAAGTCCTATTGAAATAAACAAATTATCTCCCAAATTACTATAGACACCTCCTGGAAAACCTAGAACATTTATAGAGATATCCTGTGAAGGAATTTGCTTGGTCCTTAGAGCAACTCTACAGGAACTTCACAGAATCATCTGGCGGATGTAAAAAATCTTTAAAAGGACATAGTTTGTTGGATGTGGTTATGTGAAATCACAAGTTCCAGTCCTGTAGATATACAAGAAAACACGGGAAAAATGGCATATACACATTTATTTAGCAGAATGACACACAGAGAAAAAATGTTTCCCACATTGTTTCCCCCCCTTAATCCAGCATTGGGTGACTGCATAATTACACAAATATAATAGAGGTGGGTTGCTGTGAGTTTTCTGGGCTGTCTGGCCATGTTTCAGAAGTATTCTCTCCCCATGTTTCATCCACATCTATGGCAGGCATCCTCAGAGACAGGAAGCAGCCAGGCTTTGAAGCTGTCATTATGATTGGTTTCTATGTTTTGTGTATATTGTTCATATGCTTTGATGTTTTATACTTTATTGCTATGTTGTTTATTTTATTGCAATTTGTATTTTTGTATTGTAATTTGTTGTTCAGGCTTGGCCCCATGTAAGCTGCTCTGAGTCCCCATTGGGGGAGATGGTGGCAGGGTATAAATAAAGTTTATTATAATATTATTATTATTATTCAATGCTAATCAAGTTGGCCAATTGCAACATTCACACCTGCCTCAAACAGTTCTTTCTCTCACCCTGGACATTCCACAGATATTAAACCCCACTTGTCTAGTTTCCAACAGACCTCACAACCTCTGAGGATACCCTCCATAGATGTGGGTGAAGCGTTAGGAGAAAATGCTTCTGGAACACTGTCATACAGCCTGGAAAACTCACAGCAACCCAGTGATTCCAGCCATGAAAGCCTTGTCAAACATATAATAGAGGTGGTATTTTCAAGTTGGATGGGAAGATCGTATCTTACATTTTCTGTGCTGAGTGGGGAATGTATGTCTTGAATTTCTCTGCAAGCCTTCTTGGATGTGCAAAATTGTGGGAAATCTGTGCTGTAGCTATGTCTAGTCTGTTGTAGTGTTTATGCTTTTATATTTGATTTAAACATGAACATGATTGGGGGTTATAGAAGATCCTCAATGGAAGGGGCAAAAAAAAAAAAGATCATAGTCCTCTAGATATTCCAGCCCCTTAACATTCAGAATTTTTCAGCATCCATTACTTAGACTTTTTCAAAGCAGCAGAGTGAACAATAGAGTGGCTGTTTCAATAAGGCAGTCATATGCTTCTTGTTGATTGCCCTTGCTAACCATCAAATTGTTGCATTCTAGGCTAGTTGTACAAGGGAGTCACAAGGGAGTCATCTATAGCACAGCCCAACAAAAATATTCTTAGTGTCTTGGCTTCCTGGAGATATTTGGGGCACTGATTTTGAAAATGGCATTGAATAGACCACGTCAGCTCTAGTTTCTTCGTTATCATTATTTTCTATGGGTGAGCAGATTAAGACTGGTAAATGGCATATACTCTATATCTCAAAAACTAGAACTAATAAATAGGGGAAAACTTACGCCATTTTTAGAACCAGCAGATCAAACATAAATAGAACCAGGATTAATAGGATTAATGTTTGAGGCACGGTTCAGCCTACCTTCAGAAAAGATGATATGAGCCCCCCTGGGGAGATACGATGGGTTACAAATAAAGTATTCTAATTTTTATTCTTATTCTTATTATTACACTATTTATATTCCGCCCTTCTTACAGCATTTACATACATAGGCAAACATTCAATGTATTTATAATCACATACAATGAGACACACAAACACAAACAAAGGCAGAGGCTTCTCCTTTCATTTCCAGCTTCTGGAGGCAGTGCTCATCTCTGGCTCTGAAGAAGTGCTTTCTCCATCTTCAAGCCGAGGAGCCTGCTCTGTCACCTCCTGGTTGTGTGTCCGGCAAGATTGCTTAGAACCTCTCTTGGTCTTTTCCCGCCGAAACGGTACCTATTTATCTACTCACATTTGCATGTTTTCGAACTGCTAGGTTGGAAGGAACTGGAGATGACAGTCAGGAGCTCACCCTGTCTCACAGATTCGAACTGCCGACCTTCAGATCAGCAGTTCAGCCAACCTTCAGGTCAGCAGTTCAGCAGCACAAGGGTTTAACTGATTGCGCCACTGCGGCCACCACAGAAATATTATTATTGCCTCAGGGAGTTAATAATAATAATAATAATAATAATAATAATAATAATAAGCTTTATTTATCTCCCCAAGGGGACTCAGGGTGGCTTACAAAAATATAAAATGCAGTGGCAAACATTTGATGCCAGTGAAATATATAACAAATTTTAAAAAACAGCTTAACTATATGTGACATAATACAATTCACTCATATTAAATCCATTAAAACTCTTAAAATCTGACTAAAATAATTGGGGTTAAGGTCAGCTTTCTTTCTTGGAAACCACATTGTATATGCCACACAACGCTGTCCTAGGATCCCCACCTTAACTAGTAAGTTCACAAATTAAATTATTTCATTTATTCCTGACTATAATCATAAATTAATGTCCCATTTCTTAACACTTAATGCCGTTTGACAGCACTTTAAGTGCCATAGCTTAATGCTATGGAATCTTGAGATCGGTAGTTCGATGAGGCACAAGCACAATTTAGTAAATAAATACCATAAAACTATCATTCCCAATATTCGAAGGCAGTGAGCCATGGTGGTTGAAGTGGTGTCAAACTGTATTAATTCAACTGTGTAGGTGCACCCTTTGTCCCCAGAAACAAATTGTTTTGGATGAGCCCCGTATAATATATTCCACACTCTCTTAACCTTTGAAGACTGATATACATTGAAAAAAAGAGATTGAGAAAAAATTAGAATTGGGGAATTCTAGGGGCTAAAGTCCCCAAAAAGGTAACTTTCCTAAACTCTGAAGGCAAGTCATTCAAGGACACCACTAGTGCTGTTTCAAATCTGCTTCCCAGATACAAGCAATAATTCCCGATCAACAGCTTCTGCCACTGAGCAGATTCCAATGTGACAAGGACACAGGAAGGCATAAGCACAGGTTCATCATGCATAGTTCACTTTTGCTCCTGCGTCTCATCGAGAAGGAATCATTTTTGCATCTCCCCTGCAGGGAGAGAGTGAAGTGCGTTTCTATTTTTCCTCTTTTTCCTCATCCTGCCCTTCCCCATCTGTCATCGCAGCCAAAGCTGCTTAGAGTCACAGCTCCAAAGGGTATCAAGGATCCCATTCTGAGCACGGCTTGAGGCCTTGCTTAGTTTAACGTGTTGTTCACAACAACTCCTATTCATAGGTCGGGATTCTCACTTAGGAAATGCAGCAGCTAAAATACAGACAACACAGTCTTTGCTATACTAAGACGTGATGGCACAAACATCCCCCCTCCCCCCAATAGCACTGAATGTACTTCCTAGAAAAAAGCATCTCCCAGACTTCATGTTCAAAAGATATCATGGACACTCCTTTCCAGACATAACTTTTGAAAAGTTGCTTTTAAGGGAGGGAAGTATAACTCATAGAAGCTCCCAGCCAGCATGGCTACTGGTCATGCTGAATATAATTACCAGCCCCGCTTTCTATACCAGCAACTTTCTGTAATAAACCCAAAGGCAACTGTTCCAAACTCTGCTGTCCAACTGTAGCATCTACATTGTTGAGTACAGTCACCTCATCACAATCAGTGGTTAGGAGCACAGGACATGATTTTTTATTGTGAGAAACTACAAGTCGCTTCTGGTGTGAGAGAATTGGCCATCTGCAGAGACGTTCCCTGCATGAGAAGCTGGAGCTGACAGACAGGAGTTCACCCCATCTCGCAGATTTGAACTGCCGACCTTCAGGTCAGAAGTTCAGTTAGCACAAGGGTTTAACCCACTGCACCACTGCAGCCCCACAGGACACTATGAAAGTGAAAAAAATGCCAATAAATAACTTTTAAAAAATGTAAGATAATGCCTTTTTACAAGTTTCAAGATATTCCATCACAACTTTGTGGTAGATTTTCATTGAAATTTGGCCATAGAATGCCATTGGAGGACCTAGAGATTCCTAGAGAAGTGCTCTTTCTAAAAATCTCTGAGCCCTCCAGCATAACTGGAGTCATACTGGAGATTCCTAGAGAGAACATTTTAAATCATATCCACGAATATTCAAATCCACAAATGTCAAAATAGTACATATGGAGGGATGACAATATGCTGAAATGTCTTGAAATTCAAGGAACAGTCCAAATAGTGCCAAAGCAGAAGAGGGCGATAGAATGGACAGAGCTGTTTCAAAATATAGAAGTATAAATCGCTTTAAAAACCAAAACTAAATTTCCCTCTAAGTAGAAAATGAACACTGAAGCAATAGGGATAGGGCAGGTGGCTTCCATTTCATTGACTCAATGAATCCATACTCAATCTTGACAAAGTTGTCCAAGGTGCTGAACTTTTCCAAAATGAGTCCAGGACCTTGGACGCATTTTAGACTAAAATCTGGAGGCTTAACACTGCCCCATGGACAATGATTGCCCCTCTTTTCAGTCATGCCACAGACTTGGGTTCCTGTGTAGGGTGAAAGGTAGGATGTACAACAAATGAATGGAGAAGGGGAAGACCTATTACCCTGCCATAGACATGATGGCCAGGTGAGAATCAGGTGGCCTTTCAGTGTCATTGGACTGCAATTCCCAGTATTCCTTGCCATTGGCAATGCTGAATAAGTCAGTTGGGACTTACAGTTCAACATCATTTGGGCAGCTATGTGCCAATAACACAAGCCAGCCAGCGGGTTTGTGGAGTGCTGTGACCAAGCAGATAATATGTGCCTCTCTTAGTTAAGCAGCAAAATGCCTTGCATATTGAATTTAAATCTGGCTTAATAGCCAACCCTTCAATATGCTAAAGATAAACGGATCAAGACAAGTGAGTTCATGCTCTGGAAATGGGAGTTTGCATTAAGCCCAACATGGCCTTTTAGATAAGGATATATTGTGGCTCATTTGCTCTGTTCAGCTTTGTGAGATCTGTCAAGCACTAATATATTTTCCCCACTTGGATGAGTTTTTGGGGCAAAAAATAAAGGAAAGAATTTGAGATAATAACCATTATCTTGTAAAACTCAGTATTGTGAAAAGTTGCCAAGTGGACTTCTTTTCTGTCATTGAGGAAAATATTGTGATATAATACATGACTTTGCATGTGTCATTGCTCATTGCTTCAAACTTTGGTGTCAGAAGTTGACAAGGCTTGAAGCTCCAGACGTCCCTGTGGACAGTCAAAAGGCTGTTGGCTACTTATCCTTCCTAAGATATGTGTTAACCCAGTTGAAGGCTGACTGACAACTAGCCCCAACATCCTCCAACTGAGAGAATCCCAAGGACATGATCTTCCACCTCTTGTGTCAAAAACATCATTCAGGGGAGATGGAATTAAGCTCCCTAATTGCAAAAATTTTGCTAGTTCCAAAGAAGATCTAGTAAGGGCCTGTCAAACTATACTTTCCGAATAGACTTGGGGAAAGGGAGTGGTTTGATAGATGATCCACTTTTTGTTATATTTATATTCCTCCTTTCATCCAAGGAGCTGAAAGTGGAATACATAGTCCTTTGCTCCATTTCTATTCTTAGCAACAAATCTGAGTGATAGGTTAGAGGAAAAGAGAATTGTCTGGTTCAAAATCAACCAGTGAGCTATATATCTAAATTGGGATTTACACCTGTATTGCCCAAGTCCAACACTCCAACAGTACATCACATTGGCTCTCCATTGATGCTGAGAGTACCTTTGATGTATGCTGGAGACTTCAGACTTCATCCCATGAGCAGGGAGGGAGGGGTGAGCGAAAGTGGAGGGAGGAATCTTAGTTTGTTCCCTACCATCTTTCCCCATCTTCTGCCTGCTTTTCCCAGTTTTAAACCATTTGGGGTCAGCTAACACCCAACACCTGAAGATGAACTTTTGGCTCCGTTTCCATGTGCTGTCCTCCTTTCACAGGGATCTGAAAACCTGGATGTTCCAGCAAGTAATTGAGAACAACTCCTCCCTAGTTATAAATGCCCAGTACCTAGGTTGCCAGATAGTCCTCTCTTCTCTACACTTCATCCTATTCCCCGGTTCTATGGTACGCTGTTTTGCACTATCCTATGCCCGACCCTTTTATGGCCTGATTGCGCCCATTTTGGTAATTCTGGTATTGGTTTTTGTTGAACAATGTCTGGAGGAGCTTCAATGTTGCTGTTTTATTCTCTTACGTTTAATTGTGTTTTATATGGATTGCTGTATTTTACAATGCACTTTTTTTAGCCATGTTTTCATTTTAATTGATTGTTTCCTTTTGTGTCTGTTGGACATTCTGTCCCATATGTAAGCCACTGCAAGTCCCTTCCAGGAGATGGTGGCAAGGTACAAAAATAAAGTAGTTGCTGTTGTTGTTGTTGTTGCTGTTGTTGTTGTTGTTTATTATTATTATTATTATTATTATTATTATTATTATTATTATTATTATTAACAGAGGCCCACAGAGTCCCAGTGAAAGGGCCCTTACATAATGTGATGGTGGAAATCCCATGGGTTTCCACAGCTCATGAAAACGGAGCCAAAAGTCCATCTGATGAGACCCTTCTTTCACCTTTCTCCATCCTTGCTTTTGATCTGCTTCTTCCTGGGGCAAAAGGCAAGTCTAGACGGTTTCAGAGTATCTATTATGAGGTCACTCCACAATATGAAGAGTTGACTATATATAAAAAGTACTGCGTAAAAGGATTTTTTTTAAAAAAAACTCTTGTATCAAGTTCTTAAATAAATTAACACAGACTAGCTGTCTCATGGCAGTGCTACTTTCACTTCCAACAGGATATGAAACTTGCAGAATTTAGTACGTGTGTCTCACTTAGCAGGAAACAGACACATTTACCCTGAAGATGCTCTAAAATTATCAGCACTTGTTGTTACTAGGTCGTGTGTGTATTAACAATGCAGTTTTCTATACAAGTCTATACTCCAGTTCCAATCCTCTGGTAAAAGTAGAAGACAGCAGCTGGTGGTTCTGCTATCCACAAGGTGATGAAGTGCACTCTGAGTTTTAGTTTTGACTTTTAAAAAGTGTTATCCATGGGACTGAACACATTTGGAGATAGGGTTCAACCTCCTCAGATGGCTCTTTTATACTCTGGATACAACTCTGACTGCTTTCCTTACCCTAATGCTATGGCAGCCACCTGTGGCCACTATTAGAAAAGTCTGACATCTACAAACCTGCAGAGCTCTCATCAGTCATTGTCAATAACACTGGCCTAAATCAGAACACTGAAACTGTATTTGACATGGGGGGGGGGGGGGGGGGACGGGACGGGACGGGACGGGAATCAACACTGGAAGGCAGGTTGTTCTTAATTTTGGTAACTTGCAGAAAAACAAAAGACATGTCATTAAACCAGTTGTTATCACCATAACCATCATCCAGCTGAGGCTAAGAATCTGTGTATCAATTGTATAGGCAACATTCCCCGCCTCTTTTGTTTTTATGATATTTTTTTCTTATTGTTTTGGAAAGTTCAGCCATCCCAACTTAGTTTTACACAGGACTGAGCCCTCCCAAGCCTCATCACATTTCAGTCCATTTTGGTCCTTGGCCCATATTTTTTGCTCCCCTGCATATAAAAATTGGTTTTCAGCCAAAATGCGGTGAAATGCTAAACGAGGCAATGTCTGAAGTACCAAAGACCTGACTTGAGTCTAAAGCATTTTCCTTTTATTCCCACAACATAAACAAAAGCTTTCATTTATACGACAGATTGGGAGCACTAGATATTATTACAGACAGAACTGGCATCATTTCACAATGTATAATATGAGGACCAAAGGAGAAGAAGTATTTGAGCAGAAAGCCTAGATTTTGTTTCAGATTATTTCCTCCATGAGCACAGTCAAATCTGCTTAAAGCAGTGGTTCTAAACCCGTGGTCCCCAGAGGTTTTGGCCTTCAACTCCCAGAAATCCTAATAGTGATAGGCCAAAACACCTGGGGACCCACAGGTTGAGAACCACTGGCTTAAAGCTATCGAAGCTGAATGATTCACACACTTTCTGTGGCAAGGAATGCCACAGTTTAACTGTGCACCAGGGAACACTATTTGAGACAGAGATGAGACATTCACAGAGGTCCTCAAGCAGAGTGGTATGTTATCAGTACGTTGTATTTGTTGTGCATTTTCATTTTAACCAAATATAACTGGAACAAAACATTGGGGATCTCCAATAAAACCAATGTTATGTTTACTTACCCACTTAGAGGTCTTGATTTTCTAATTTCAAAAAATTGAGTTCCCGTGTGATTGTATCTGGGTTTGATTAGTTAAGGCAAAGTGATTGTAAAATGGAAAGTGTAAGGAGGATGAAATTAGGTTTAAAGGAATGATTCAATCATACTTTCTTCTAGAAATATACACGAGTAATGTAAAATATATTGAGTCTAGACCCAGTTCTCAAGTCCCAAAGGTGAGAAAATGTAATTTAATTTTTCTTCACAATTTCCCTTAAGAATTTAATCCTCTTATTTGGGGGAAAAGCACTTCAGTAATCAAAAACTGAGGTCTAATAGAACCCAATTGAATCATAACATTTTTAAATGCCCAGATCAATTTTACAGAAATTTCAGCAGTAAAAAGAGTTGGGCATGTTTCGCCTTCAGAAAAGAAGGCTGAGAGGAGACATGATGAGGGCCATGTATAAATATGTGAGGGAAAGATATAGAGTTTGTTTTCTGCTGCCTTGGAGAATAGGACATGGAACATAGCTTCAAACGACAAGAAAGGAAATTCCACCTGAACATTAGGAAGAACTTCCTGACTGTGAGAGCTGTTCAGCAGTGGAACTCTCTGCCCCGGACTATGGTGGAAGCTTCTTCTTTGGAAGCTTTTAAACAGAGGTTGGATAGCCATCTGTCGGGGGTGTTCAATGCAATTGAACACCCTGATTCTTGGTAGGGGGTTGGACTGAGTGGTCCACAAGGTCTCTTCCAACTCAATGATTCTATGATTCTGTGAAAATCGGTAACAGATTCTTGCTTACAGAACAGGAGTATACCTACCCATGATTGTTATCATTTATCATTTAAAATACTCCCAGTGTTAATTTCTATCAACTCAAAAACTGCACAACATCTCCTTATGTCAACTCAGAAGTATGGCTATGGGGTGGCAAAATGGGAGTGTTGGCCCCCAATATGAATCTCCACCCCCCCCCCCCCCAAATTCCTTGTCCCTAAATATCTTAAATTGCAGTAAGTTGAACTTACAGTTGAACATTCAGAAATACAGTTTAGGCATCAAAAGCAAAGGATCAGGCAAAGTTTGGAGACTAAATGAAAAATTCATGTGAAGAGAATACAGTTCATATCTAGAGAGGGAATGCCCTTATTTTGCCTCCACTCCCAGAATTACATATTTGTCTTAGCTTCTTCACAAACATAAAAATAGATATTGGCACAGATCAGACATCACGGCCAACCCATGATCTGGTAGAGTCAGAAGCAGAATTCTGTCTCCCTGTCTTTTTCTGTGTGTGCGTGTGTGAATCTCTTTGAATCCACAGACATCGTTTGCCATCACAGCAGGGAGATTCTTCAAGTTACTCTCACCAACTCTGGTCAGGTGACACCAGCTCTAAATCCTTCACCATGGTATGGGACTACAAGTTTCTCAAGTCATTCCTGTCACGAAAAAACAAATCCCAAAGCCCCAGGTTGGGACTTCCTGGGCCATTCAAACTTTCTTGAATTCCAGTTCTCACCAATCCTACCCAACTTAACCAGTGGTGACATATGATAGTATTGGGCTTTCATAAATATCTGGAGGAATTAATGTTCCCCCATTTTTGTTCTATGAGAGGGATGGACTCTCAAACTCTGGATTGTGTCCACCCAAGCTGTCCTACCCATCTTCCTACCCAGAAAGGACTATACTGTACATAAATTCCTGTTTCGCCTAGATCTTTGAACAACAAGGATCTGTTTGCCTGACTGCTTAATTTGACTTTATTTATATCCCATTCTCTCTCACAAGGAGTCTAAGGACTGTGTCACAGTGGCATCGCTGATGCACTTGTGGTTTTCTTGCCAAAAGTCTCCTGATACTCCAAGAAGGTTTATGGTCAGCTCAACTCAATGATGACCCAGTCACTATAACCGTTGTCATGCATCTTCAATTCAACCCTAGGAGCTTGTGCCAGCTGAACTGCTGACCTGAAGATCTGAGGGTCAGCAGTTTGAATCCATGAGATGGGGTGAGCTCCCATCTGTCAACCCCAGCTTCACATGCAGGGACATGAGAGAAGCCTCTCACAGGATGGTAGCAGGTCCAGGCATCTCCTGGGCGATAACATCCTTGCAGGTGGCCAATTTTCTCATACCAGAAGCGACTTGCAGTATATTCTCAATTCGCTTCGGCCACGATAAAAAAAGCCAAGCCTAACTTATAACAACCCTATCTAGGATTTTCTTGGCAAGATTTATTCGAAAATTATTTGAATTTTGCCGGATTTTCCTAGGCAAGGAATACTCTGAGGTGATTATGCCTCTGAAATAACATCATCCTCTGAAATAACGTCCACAGAACCAGGTATTCATTGTCAGTCTTCCATCTAAGTACTAAACAGAGTTGATCCTACTTAGCTTCCAAGATAAGATAGGATCTGATATATTTAGGGTATTTATTTACAGAATACTCATAGTTGTTGAATTATCAATAACTGCAAAGTGCCTCATTCATTGGACACTGGAGTTCTTCGTTCACTCTGATGTTCTGTCAAGAGGTAGAAGGGAAGCTTATGCCTCTGTCACGTGACAACTTATCAAATTCTGACCACTTTTAACAGACTGATCTTGAAAGAAGATTTCATCTACACTGGGTTTCAGTTGGATTCCACATGTGGCCAATGACTTATTGAGTTTATATTTGATACTATTTGCAGTCATTCCCTGAAGTAAGATGTCAGATGTCTAGCCAAGCTGGTATGAAAGAACATCTGTTTCCAGCTTGGAAACATGACTTGGGAGACAGCCATTCATCAAAAAAGAGAGGTGAAGTATCATGTGCCCTTTTGTGGAAGTAAGGGAGGGGAGTATAAAGAACTATAATTAGCAGTAAATTAAAAAATATTTCATTTTTTTGGCTATAAAGCTCTTCTAAAAGTTTAGCCAAGTGTTGAACAAGTGGTCACCTTAACTATATTCCAATATTATTTATTTACTGTATTTATATACCGCTTTTCTACCTAAATTCATTGTCACAATAAGATGGATGTGGAACCCAAATTGCACAGATTAGACAATGATATTCAGATTTCCATTGAAAGAAAGAATATAATTTTCCACTACTTAAATTATACACTCCTGGTATCCTTGCATATAATACATTTCTATTGGCTATTATGATTTGAAGATTTAACATTCTATTAATTTCTCTTTCAGTCTTTCTCCAATACACCTGTACTCTGTCACATTCCCATATCATGTGATTAAACACACCTCTTTGTTTACAACCATGCCAACACCTGTCCTTTACCCCTGGTAAAAAACATGAAAGCTGTGCAGGAGTCTTGCACCATGTTTCTTCTTGCACAGGCCAGACAATGATATCCAGGTTTCCATTGAAAGAAATAATATAATTTTCTACTACTAAAATTGGGAGGTTGGAAGCTGTGGCTCTCCATTTGTTATTGGACTATAATTCCCTCTACTGTCTTTCGGCCATCAAAGTGGTATCATCCGCAAAAGTGGCATCATCACTGAAAGTGAAGAGGAGCTGAGGAGCCTTATAACCAAGGTGAAAGAAGAAAGTGCAAAAGCTGGATTGCAGTTAAACATAAAAAAAACCCCAAGATTATAGCAACCAGACCGATTGACAACTGGCAAATAGAGGGAGAAAACGTGGAGGCAATGACAGACTTTGTATTTCTAGGTGCAAAGATTCCTGCAGACGCAGACTGCAGCCAGGAAATCAAAAGACGTTTACTTCTTGGGAGGAGAGTAATGACCAATCTCGATAAAATAGTGAAGAGTAGAGACGTCACACTAGCGATGAAGATACACATAGTTAAAGCAATGGTATTCCCCATAGTAACCTATGGATGTGAGGACTGGGACATAAGGAAGGCTGAGCGAAGGAAGATAAACACTTTTGAACTGTGGTGTTGGAGGAAAATTCTGAGAGTGCCATGGACCGTGAGAAGATCCAACCAGTCCATACTTCAAGAAATAAAGCCTGACTGTGCATTGGAGGGAAGGATATTAGAGGCAAAGATGAAGTACTTTGGTCACATAATGAGAAGACAGAAAAGTTTAGAGAAGACAATTATGCTGGGGGAAATGGAAGGAAAAAGAAAGAGGGGCCGACCAAGGGCAAGATGGATGGATTATTTATTTATTTACTTCATCCTTGAAGGGACTGGCTTGAATCTGAAGGAGCTGGTGATAGCCACGGCCGACAGGGAGCTCTGGTGTGGGCTGGTCCATGAGGTCACAAAGAGCCACAAGTGACTGAACGAATAAACAACAATCCCTCTACTGTGTAAGAGGTGTTATGTTCCTGTTTAAGCTTTAAACAGCAACACAGTCGCCTACCTTGGATTTAGACAAAGACACCTAAATCATGTTTTTCTTGACCTGGCAAGAAAGACTGCATGTAAATGCTATGGGATAGGACTCCTTTCCTATGGAGACACTCCTCATCTTAGAAGCATATGAAATGTCATTTGGATATATGCATATTCCCTACCTTTCCTCCTAGTTAGGCTTGGTTAGCATTTTCATTGTTGTGTAAATTAAACCGTATACACAATCCACATTTTACTGACATTCTTTTCTTCAATAGTGGCATCATTACCAAAACCAGTAATGCTCGTTTTACAAAAACGATGGGACTTGGGACAAGCTATTGGCTATGGGTAAATTTACTCCTAAGTTTTAATAGCTCACTTAGTAAGCTGCATTATGAAAACCTACTAGGAGACCTTGAGTGAGTCACACACTCTCAGCCCCAGAAAACCCTATGATAGGTTTTTATTTATTTATTTATTTATTATTTACTACATTTATATGCTGCTTTTCTCCCCTGAAGGAACTCAAAGCAGTTTCCAACATAAAAAAAGTAAAATTCAATGCTGTACATATATGTGAAAACCAAACCATAATAGCTAGACAATAACATATTAACTTTAAATTAAAAATCTAATCATATTAAAACATGAAATAACATTTAGACATTTAGACATAAAACATAAAAATTAAAACATCAATTATACGATAACATTTATATTTTAAAACCCACCCGTAAACAACGTGATTTAGAAACAGTTATTAAAATCACGCCACCCAAACTCAAATCTGTATTGTTCCGTTCACTATTCCTTATTCTCCTATTGCACTAAGAACTTTGCTGTCTGAAAGCTTGGGCACTTAACCACATTTTTACTGTAGGTCAGGAGGGAGGTTCATCTAAATCAGAAATGACAACCATCAGAGTATATTCAGTAATGTGGTCCTGATTTTAAAAAAAAAGGAAGGGGGGATAAGTGCATGTCCACTTATAGACATTTTAACTGTTTCATAACCTTTTTTAAGACTAACTTAAATGGAGCTCATGGTCCAGTAGTGGTCCATGCACTACAGTTTGAGAGAAACGACACTAATAATCTACCCCGACGTGTTACTCAAAACGTGTGCCATTGAGCTTTAGACTCCTTTGCCTCAGTGCAAGCTGAGGGGGCTTTTCAAGGGCATGCGCAAAATGTTGATCAAGACCAATTGAGCAGAGTTGTGCCATACATCATCCTGCGACTACAATTCCTCACTGCAAAGGCCTCCAAATTCTCCTCTCTGTGAACCTGCAACCAAGCAAAGTCCACAAAAGACGCCTCTCTGGATAGATGCTTAGTCTCTCTCTTCAATTACATCCTCTCCAGCATCAGTTAAATCTTAAAAATCCAGTGAGCAAGATGCCTAGGCAGCCTCACAAAAATCCCCAAGTGTCGGCCAGGAATGCATTTCTCTCCTGCGCCTCACATCAATAAATTATCCCTTCCCTCGTCCATTCATTAACATCTCAATGGGTAAGTATAACATCACAGCTTGCTCACTCCATGCCACCTTCAAAAAGGAAAGGATACTGCAGCATCTTCATGTAATTCTGTATTGCCTGAAGCCATTCGGGGATCGTCATGGAAGCCTTGTAGTTTGGCACAGAAGGTACTGAAGGCTACACATCAGGGGAGAGAGAAAGAGAGAGAAGTTGAGAGAGGTTACAACTTCAGCAGCCAAAATGATGCTATACAGCTAGCCCTCCATCTTTGATGGGGTTAGGGGCACCCCAGTGAAAGTGAAACATTGCAAATAATGAATTTGGTAATATATTTTTAGCATATAGAGCACTTCTCTAAGAATTTCTAAGTCTTCCAACACAATTCTATGGCCAACTTCCACTGGGAGCTGAATATAGCAATGCATTGGAAGACTTAGGTTCCAAGAGACGTATTCTGTCTAGCATGACTGGAGAATGTTGACAACAGAATCACACTGGAGGACCTGGAGAGAACATTTCTAATCAAATCCATGAAGAACCAACATCACGAATGTGGAAGGAGGATATGGCTATATCTGACATATCAGGATAATAATAATAATAATAATAATTATTATTATTATTATTAATTTCATATATTTATATCTCACCCTTCTCCCCACAAGGGGGACTCAGCACGGCCTTATAATACACTTTATTTATATTCCGCCTCTCTCCTGGTGGGGACTCAGAGCAGATTACAGTATAAACAGATACCAGCAAACATTCAATACAATGAGACACACAAACACAAACAAAGGCAAAGGCTTCTCCTTTCATTTCCGGCTTTTGTTGTTGTTGTTGTTGTGTCAGGAGCGACTTGAGAAACTGCAAGTAACTTCTGGAATGAGAGAATTGGCCGTCTGCAAGGACGTTGCCCAGGGGTCGCCCGGACAATTTGATGTTTTTATCATCCTTGTGGGAGGCTTCTCTCATGGCTTCTCGTATGAGGAGCTGGAGCAGATAGAGGGACCTTATCTGCCTCTCCCCGGATTCGAACCTGCAACCTGTCGGCACAGGGGTTTAACCCACTGCGCCACTGGGGGCTCTATTTCCGGCTTTGGAGGCGGTGCTCATTTCAGGCTCTGGGAGGGGTGCTATTCTTCATTTCCAAGCCGACAAGCCTGCGTTGTCACCTTCTGGTTGTGTGACTGGCATGACTGCTTGGAGCGTCTTATGCCTTTCCTGCCAAAGTGGTACCTATTTATCTATTCACATTTGCATGCTTTCAAACTGCTAGGTTAGCAGGAGCTAGGGCTGATAGCAGGTGCTCACCCCGTTCCGTGGAATAAACTTCAGGTCAGCAGTTCAGCAGCACAAGGGTTTAACCCACTGCGCCACTGAAGCCCCAGGATGCCTTTGTTTGATTCGCATAAAGTCCCATTTTGTGCTGTTTCAGAAATAAGTCCATGAGACTTATTCCCAAAGCAAATATCTCCGGGGCTGCAAATTTTGCCACAGACACTGTTAGAAATGGAGTGCCTAAAGGAGTAATCACTCTCTGAAAGGTCGGTTTTTGTCTCTATTCTAGCTTGAAAGCCAGCCTTTCCAACACAAGAAAGCATTCCTAGTCTCAACTCAGAAGACTGTCTGCCATCTCTCAGCACTGTTTCTACATTGATCCTTCCCTGGAATCCTTTGCCACAGTTGTTGCTGCAACTGTAGAAGAGAGCTCATTATGATATCGCATGGCTGCATTCTGGGCTGGCATTTTGTAAATAGAAATGGGCCCATGAAACAGGATGCAGGAAACAGCTCAGCCATTAGAGAATGTGGCAGGAGACAGGGACCAGTTGCCAAGCACCTGGAGGACAAGCAGGCATCCCAGACTTCTTTGGCATGACAATGCTGTAGAAGAGAAAACTGCTCTTGTTAAAAAATGTGTGTGTGTGTGTGTGAATTTGGAGGGGAAAATATTAGGCACCTGTTTGTATGGATTCCTAAGAAACTGAAAATAGCACACAGAAATTCAATATTTTGATAGCTCTGGACAAGCTGTAATCTCTAAAGTGGGCTTCCCAAAACTGTAAATATGTTCTTGGCCTCTTATACAATAATCCTGCTGGTCTATTCTCCCAGCACACGAGGTCGCACAGGGGAGCGGGGATTAAGGGATGAAACATCCCTGCTAAGTTTCAAATCATGCTGAATTTATTTTGGCTTCTTAGGAATTCTAAATACCAAATAACTATAGCTAAAAACAATTAAGCAACTCTGCGCAATTCTCCCTCCCTCTCCCTCTCTCTCTGTCCAGCACATACACTTTACAATCCCCATATCCATGGGAAGTTTCAGGCTTTGTGTGGATATGCAAAACTGCAGGTAATAGTGAAGTCTATTGAAACGAAAGCCCTCTGGCCCAAATAGTTCACATCTAGGAGCCCTTCCACACATAACCCAGAATGTCAAGGCGGAAAATCCCACAATATCTGCTTTGAAGTGGGTTATCTGAGTCCATGTTACCATATATTCCTGTTCAAAGCAGAAAAGTGGGATTTTATTTAGCTGTGTTGAAGGGGCCTAGGTCTTCTTGCAACAGTGACAAAATATTTGTTGCCACCAGAATCTACTCTTTGCTACTATGGGATCAGACCCAAATCCACACCATGCCATTTCCCTAAATTTATCCCCCCTCCAGGAGTTTTGGATTATATATTTTTTAATATTTTAAAACAGATTTTATCTGTTTGTATGATCAATGATGCCCGTCTGACTGATTTATAATCTTTTAGCCAAAGTTGTTCTCTATGTTTTAATTGTATTTATGCTTTAATTGCATAAATGTTTTTATTTTTGAGGCATTGAATGTTTGCCATTCTTTTGTGTTATATTTGGAAGCCGTCCTGAGTCTAACCCACACCTGAGAAAGGTGTGGGTTAGAAATCCATTAACAAGATCACTATGCTGGCTTTTTGTATTTGATCACACGTCGGACACTTCCCGAGTGTCTAGGACTGTGTGGTGTATCGGTGAATAATGTGTGCAGGTCCAAGTAGGGTAGCCTTTTGCAGCCGGAAGATGGTAATTCTGTCAGCGCCAATTGGTTTTAAGTGCAAGCCAAGGTCTTTAGGCACTGCACCCAGTGTACTGATCACCACTGGGACCACTGGCTTGTGCCAGTATTTGCAGTTTGATCTTTAAATCCTCATACCGTGTAAGCTTTTCCAGTTGCTTCTCATCAATGTCAATTCTGCTGTCACCTGGGATTGCAAAATCGATTATTTTTTTCATATTGTTGTTACTATTATTATTACTATTACTAATATTGGAGTTGTAGTTCGACAGCCCTGTGGGGAGGCTGGGCTTTTAAAAGACTAATTGATGCCTTACAACAAATCATGGCTTTAGCTCATGTTTACAGGACAGGAAAGCAAAAACCTTAGCCTGGCGACATCCTCCTTTCCTTGAATGTCAGAGTGATGGATTGAGCAACCCTCCCCAAAGCTCCCCAGTATTTGAGACATCTTGCAGACAGAACAGGTGGCTGGAAGGGTTGCTGCCTTGGGAGCATTTCCATCCCTATGTTGCCAGCTGTTTCCTCCATCGGGGAGCCCAGCCAACCTGACGTCAGACGGGTGGAATTTGAAATCCAAATGGAAAGCAGGGAGAGAGCGAAAAGGGGCACTAGATGCATGGTTTGCAGAGGCAAGTGGGGTGTTGGGATGTTCATGGAAAGCCAACTCCCGACTCTCTTCTGCCAAAGAGGAAATCTTGTCTATGCATGCCTTGCCTAGGAATGCCCTAATACGGAAACCATCTCCAATAAAAGATTTAATGTATACAGCACATGCCAGATTTCCATATCTTGCAATATAACACCTACTTTATATAAGTCTACTCATAAATATTCCAGTTCAAGCCAGCAAGTGAATAATAAAAATGAAAAAGAATAGAATGGAAAGAGAAGTCTCTGCCTTTTGTTTCTCCCATCATAAAAGCATATGGAGTTAAGCGGACCACAAGTGCACTTACAGTGTGAAATGAATGCAGTTTAACACCACATTAACTTCCATGGTTCAATGCTATGGAATCATGAGAGTTGTAGTTTTACAAGGTCTTTATCCTTCTCTGGCAAAAACTGTTGGTACCTCATCAAACTATGGTCCCTAGGATCTCAATCCAATCTTGATCCATGTTGACATCCTTTGGGCCATGGCACTTAAAGCAGAGTCAAATTCCATTAATTCCTACATAGAGTGCAATCAAGTATTATCAAGACTTGTTGTTTGGTTTGGTATTGTGGTATGGCCTAAGGGCTAATAAATAAAATTACTACTACTGCATTAATTCCAAAGTGTGTACACAGCTTTGGATAAGCATATGTTTTGTGCCTATATAGACATTATAAAGAGAATATTTTTTGTGGGGAGGGGGACAATTTGAAAATCAAGTGGACCTTTGTAGACTAATATACAGAGAGTATTTTGCCCAGTTCTGGGCACCAGTTTGGCCTTGACAGACTGGGACACTTTGCTAGGAGGGTGATGAAGATGGAAACAGGACTGAGACCAAGTCCTTTGAGGAGACACTGAAGGATTTGCTTATATCTAACCTGGAATGCTGTGTGCCTTCAGCTTGTATCTGATTTGTGGAAGTCCTAAGACCATCCTATCACAGGGTTTTCTTGACAAGATTTGTTTACAAGGGGTTTACTGTTGCCTTCTGCAAAGGCTGAGAAACCGTGACTTGTCCAAGGTTACTCAGTGGGTTCTTTGATAGAACAGGGATTTAAACCCTGGTCTCCAAGAGTTGCAGTCCAACCATCACAACATCTGAAGAGGTTACACATTAGATGACAGAGAAAATTTGTTTTATGTTTTGCTAAAGGTGGAACAAGACACAACGAAAAACAAATTTGCTTCGAACAACAAAAACAGCAGGCATCTAAATCCAATCTTGATCCATGTTGACATCCTTATCCAATGAACATTAAACAGGCTTAGCCTCCTAATGCAAATGAGGATGTTCCTCTAAATCCAGGATGGCCAAGTTTGTTTGCTTATTTATTTACTAGCTGTACCCGCCACACATTGCTGTGGCCAACCTTCCCTCCCGCTTTCTCTCCTTTCTTTCTCTCCTTCCCTCTTTTTCTTTCCTTCTCTCCTTCCTTCCTTCTCTTTTTCTTCCTTTCCTTCCTCCCTTTTCTTTCCCTTCCTCTTTCTCCCCTTTCTTCCTTTGCTACCTATTTTGGACTGCAACTCCCAGCAGTCCTCTTGATCAATCTATCTACCTACCTATCTCTATCTAATCTATCTATCTGGAGGATTGTTGGGTCTTGCAGTCCAGAAATAGGAAATTGGAAATATGCAGGGATTGGGATGCTCTCAAAGAAATCCAAGGAGAAGAAGCTTACATCTTGGAAGCAGTGCATTTGGATCATCCTCCTCTCTTAAAGGGCCTGGTCTAGGGGATACTGGGAGCTGTAATCTGAAAGAGAGTGTGGATATGCTATTGTGTGTTCTGTTTGCCAGGGGGAGTTGTTTTTGCACATGCGCAATAGCGTCTTTTTGTGGGGGGTTTTGGCTTTTGAAGTCCCTTCTGCTGTGTTTTTCATTGTTTTTATGAGTGAAGGTCACTTGCTGCCCTGATAGGTCCAAATCTGGTGTCAATTCATCCCGTGGTATTTGAATTATGTTAATCCCACAAATGAACATTACACTTATATATAGATAGATATTTGTTTGTTTATATTTAAAGCATTCATGCCCTGCCCTTTAGTCAGAAAGACTCCCAGATCAGTGAACAGATCAGACAATATGAGGCAGTCCTTGCTTTTAGATTTGCTTCAAAAGATATATAGGACAAAAGGAGAAAGAAACCCAGAGGGGAAAAGGAAAATAAGAAAACTGACGCATCAATGCTTAATGTAATACAGATGTTGCAAGAGCCAGCAGAAGTAATGACATAATAAATTTGTGATAATGTCACAGCCTTTTGCTACAGAAAATAATGATGTGTGACTGGTTGCCCATGGCAGTTAGGATCACAAAGGTTGGTGTATGTGATAACAATACATAAGAAGAAGATGAAGAAGAACAAAGTAGAGCTTTATCCATTCTTTACACTTAAACATTTCCAGTCTGTACATAGTTTCTTATCTCAAATCACCGCTCAGAGAAAATGACAGAAGAAGCATGACTTCAGACAGGAAATCCTCACTCTCTCCCCACTCTAGTTAGGCATAATATCTATATGAAATGCTTCTCTTCCCAATCGGATAAATATAAATATTTGACATATTTTCCATCACCATGAAAGGCATATGTGGGCTAGAAATCAATTTCTGCTTCCAGGAGAAAAGTCACAACTTGGTCAAAGACTACCAGTGTGACGCTCAAGTTCTTCGGGAAGGATTGTGTGCATTATACCATTTCCTCACACAAATGCAATACAGAATGAGCAACCTGAGAATTATAGCATTGGTTTAACCTGGCATGGGCAAACTTTGGCCCTCCAAGAGTTTTGAACTTCAACTTCCATAATTCCATTCAACTGTTAGGAATTATGGGAGTTGAAGTCCAAAACCTCTGGAGGGCTGAAGTTTGCCCACGCCTGGTTTACAAATACATATTTATTGATTGATTTATTGATTTACTGCATTTATATACCATCCCTTTCAGCCCGCAGGCTTTTAATCTTTATGATCAAAGCCTGTAAACATGTAGCAGTCCTATGAATTGAATAGTTTTCTTAGTCAAGGAACACAGAAATTGATTTGTTAGTTCCTTCCCTTGAAATATAACATACACAACCGGGAATTTATTGGCAGTCTCCCATCCAAGTAGTAATCAGGTCTGATCCTGCTGAGCTTCCAAGAGCAGCCTTTAAATCCTGAGAAATATACAGCAGGACCCTATATATCCTTTGAGTGCCAGGAACTTTTAATCCAACTTTGACCAGAACCTGGATGGGAAAATAACCAGACCTGATGTAAAGCAACTGTCTGAAAGACAAGTAATAAGTCATAGAAACAAAATTCAAATTAATTGGTGTGTAAGGGACTACCACAGTTTGTAATGTAGTCCCGATATATACCTATTTCTATGTATGGTTGTGAAATCTGGACATTGGGAATAAACCTGATAGAAATGAGATGTAGTGACGGAGAAGAATTCTGCAGATACTATGGCCTAATTAAAAAAAACATATAAATAGGTCCTAGAGCAAACTCTTAGTAAAACCAAGATGACTACACTGAAGCTGCCATACTTTGGCCATATCATGAGATGACAGGACTCACTAGAAAAGACGAGGTGTTTGGTAAAGTGAAAAACAGTATGAAAATGTCTGCTTCCCATTCCAGATGGATAGACTCAAGCAGGCAAGCCACGGGCCTGTTGGAGATTGGACAGCTTGGAAGTCACTCTTTTATAGGGCTGACATAAATTGAAATCAACTTGAAGGTAGTTAACAACAACCCATAGTTTGAGAATGGTACTTTTCTGGACTACACCTTCCCAGATTCCCACACCTAGAATGACTCAAAAAAGTAACTTTCCTAAGCTCTGGTAAAGAACTCCTGTCAAATCAAAACCCAGGGTCCTTCCACTGTTCATCCCATGCCAAAGGAAAGCTATTATCCCACTCAACCACTTTGTATCTTTGGATCTAAAGGTTTTCCTTTGACATTAAGTCTAGTTGTGTCCGATTCTGGAAAGTGGTGCTCATCTCCATTTCTTAGCCAAAAGCCGACGTTGTCCGAAGACGCCTTCTAGGTCATGTGGCCGGCATGACTGCATTGGGTGTAGTGCCTAAAGACCTTGGCCTGCACTTAAAAACAATTGGCGCTGACAAAATTACCATCTGTCAGCTGCAAAAGGCCACCCTAGTTGGATCTGTACACATTATTCACCGATCCATCACACAGTTTTAGACACTTGGGAAGTGATCAAATACAAAAGCCTGCATAGTGATCTTGTTTGCTGTGTACTAATCTTGTTATGTAACCAATCATCATCATCATCATCATCATCAAACCACTCTGGGACTTCCAAATTCAGACTGACAAGAGTTTTAGAGCACAATACCTCACAATCGTGCTAAAAAACAAAGTATGAATCATCGATGTTGCCATCCCAGGCAACAGCAGGATTGAAGAGAAACAACTGGAAAAGCTGACATGATATGAGGATTTAAAGATCGAACTGCAAAGACTCTGGCACAAGCCAGTAAAGGTGGTCCCAGTGGTGATCGGCACACTGGGTGCAGTGCCTAAAGACCTTGGCCTGCACTTAAACACAATCGGTGCTGACGAAATTACCATCTGCCAGTTGCAGAAGGCCCCCTTACTGGGATCTGCACACATCATTCGCCGATACATCACACAGTCTTAGGCACTTGGGAAGTGTCCAACGTGTGATTCAATACAATAGGCCAGGAGAGTGATCTTGTGTGCTGTGGACTCATCCTGTTGTGTTTCAAATAATAATAATAATATTTATTTATTTATTTATTTGTTTATTTATTTATTTATTTATTTATTTATTTATTTGTTTATTTATTTATTCGTAGCCCGCCCTATCTTCCCGAGGGGACTCAGGGCGGGTTCCAACATAATAAAGGCAAAAATTCAATGCCTGTATAAAACAGAAGTAACAACAGAAACAACAAACAATAAAATACATTCCACAAGTTAAAGCAAGTAATTTAAATAATATCCAAGGGGGTATCTACACTGTAGAAGTAATGCCGTTCAACACCACTTTAATGGCCAAGGCTCAATGCTACAGACTATGGGGATTGTCATTTTACAATGTTTTTTAGCCTTCTCTCACAAACTACAACTGCCAGGATTCCAGAGTGTTGAATCCTGTCAACTGCATTAATTTCACAGTGTAGATCAGGCATGGACAAACTTCGGCCCTCCAAGTGTTTTGGATTTCAACTCCCACAATTCCTAACAGCCTACCGGCTGTTAGGAATTGTGGGAGTTGAAGTCCAAAACACCTGGAGGACTGGAGTTTGCCCATGCCTGGTGTAGATCCACCCCAGGATGGCTCCTCACCTCCATGGATCTTATCTACCCTCCTGTCACAATGAGTTTCATTGGACCCCATGGCAAGAAACCCCAGGGGGTTGGACCCGATGGCCCATGTGGTCTCTTCTAACTTTATTATTCTATGATTCTATGGCACTTACTTTTGTCAGCTGGGCAGCGTTCCTGATGGTCTCGACCATCTCTTGGCCCGAGGGGTGCACCTTGGCCACGTGGCCCCACATCCTCTCCCAGGTGTGCCCGTCAATGGGGAATCCACTTTTGTTGACGAGGAAGGCCACCCCTCCATCTTTGTCCTCCTCCTCGGACCCTCCGTTGTTGGCAGTACTGATCGGCCGGGCATGGGAGCTCCGGGAGCGCCCCCCTTTCTCTCCCTTGGGGTGAGCTTTGCGGCAAGCATTGGCGCTGGACCCCGTCATGGTCACTAGGCACCAATGAGGGAGCGAATGGGTTTGGAGCCGGGCAGGGAAAGGCAAGAAGTTCAGTGGCCCCACGAAGCCGTCTTCCTCATGCTGCCCTCGCACCTAGGGAATCAGGAGGGCATGGAGTCGGTTCAGCTAAGAGCAGCAGACAAGCAGATCCCCAACAACAGTTTTCTTCTCCTCTTCCTTCGCTTCCTCTTCCTCCTCTTCGCGCAAGCAGAGTCTGGAAAAGGTAGTAGAGATGGTGAGAGGTAACACATAGCATGTGCCAGTCAGAGTAGGTGGGCATCGCGGAGTGGCGGGAAGGCAAGACAAAACAATCCATCTCCTACTAGCTCTATGGAGACCTGGAAGGCATGGCACCACTTCTCCCCTGACACATACTCCCACGCATCACACAGGCAAAACACACACACAAACAGCCTTGCCGTTGACAGCCGGAACTGGCAAACAATAGAAAAGGATCCTCATCAAAGCTGGCAGCGATCCAGACTCACCTGTCAAACAAAAGAGGCAGCAAATCCTCCGCTCTCTTCCAACCAGGAAAGCATCTCTAGGTGCCTCTCTCACCAGGGGGTGGCAGGAACCGAGAGATGTTCGAGATCTCCTTTTTCGCTCAAGCAAAAATATAGAACCATAGGATGTCTTTGAGAAGAGGCATCACACAAAGGGGATCCTCTCCTCAATATGACACCACCGGTCTGGGTTCACATCTGCCTCTGCTATCTGCCAAAGGCAGGGGAATCGCCTGCTTTAAAGTAACTCCTATGTGGCTTAAGACCCCAGGAGGAGCGAACACAGCTAAACACAAGAGGAGGCAGTACTACGATCCTAATTCTCATCTTCCTGTTCAGTGCAGCCTGCCTGGCATGCGGCAAAGCCATTGGGAGGCTGGTGCAAGTCCAAGGATGGGGCTGAGCTCCCTCATTTCCACAAGGAGGAGGAGGGCAATTTGAGGGGGAGGAAGGGTAGACCCGTCATGCAAATGAGCTCAATTGATCAACGCATACCTCCCTGCTACAGATGGACTTGACTAAGTCCCATCTTCTCCATGACTTGCTGGTAGGGAATGATGGGAGTTTGTAATGGAGTACATTTTAAAACTACCTGAATAATTTTTTGGGCGGGGGGAGGATATTGGAATTATCATGCAAATGAGCTTTGCTGATATATATGCATCTATATAAATAAAAATGTAATATTCGTTTGTGGGATTAACATAACTTAAAAACCACTGGGCGAATTGACACCAAATTTGGACACAATACACCTATCAGGCAAACGAGTGACCATCACTCATAAAAACACTGAAAAACACACCAGAAGAGACTTAAAAAGCAAAAAAAAAAATACAACACATGCATTAAACCACATATATATATACACGCAAAACACATATACACAGACTGGGCCACAACAACATGTAGCAGGGGATGGCTAGAACACACACACACACACACACACACACACACACATTTATCTGCTATTTAACTACAAGTCCCATCCTCTCCATGCCTTGTTTTGTTTTGTTTTTGGGTTTTTTTTGGCATTTTTTGTCGTATCAGAAGCAACTTGAGAAACTGCAAATCGCTTCTGGTGTGAAAGAATAGGCCATCTGCAAGGAGGTTGCCCAGGGGACGCCCGGATGTTTTGATGTTTTACCACCCTTGTGGGAGGCTTTTCTCATGTCCTCAAATTGAGAGCTGGAGCTGACAGAGGGAGCTCATCTGTTGTCCCCCCGGATTCGAACCTGCGACCTGTCGGTCTTCAGTCCTGCCAACACAGGGGTTTAACCCACTGCGCCACCGGGGAAATGATAAATTATAATTGTTTCAACGCCTGGTTGGTTGCTGCCTGGGGGAATCCTTTGTTGGGAGGTGTCAGCTGGCCCTGATTGTTCCTTGTCTGGAATTCCCTGGCTTTTTGAGTCTTGCTCTTTATTTACTGTTCTGATCTTAGAGGATTTTTAAAAAATACTGGTACTCAGATATTTTTTGGGGGGAGGGGGAGGAGAGGTTATGGTAGGAACCATCATATTATCAAACTGGACATCCATACTACAGCCCCTCTATATATGACAACAAGTCCCATAATCCAGCCTGCAGTTTCAACACCTGGTTGGTTGCTGCCTGGGGGAATCCTTTGTTGGGAGATGTTAGCTGGCCCTGATTGTTCCTTGTCTGGAATTCCCTGGCTTTTTGAGGCTTGCTCTTTATTTACTGTTCTGATTTTAGAGTTTTTTAAAGGGTTGTGGTTTGGGTGCCTGGGGGAATCCTTTGTTGGTTAGGATTAGGATTAGGTTAGGGTGCCTGGGGGAATCCTTTGTTGGTTAGGGTTGGCTTAGGGTGCCTGGGAGAATCCTTCGTTGGGAGGTGTTAGCTGGCCCTGATTGTTCCTTGTCTGGAATTCCCTGGCTTTTTGGGGCTTGCTCTTTATTTACTGTTCTGATCTTAGAATTTTTTAAAGGGTTACGGTTAGGGTGCCTGGGGGAATCCTTTGTTGGTTAGAATTAGGGTTAGGTTAGGGTTAGGGTGCCTGGGGGAATCCTTTGTTGGTTAGGGTTGGTGTTAGGGTGCCTGGGGGAATCCTTTGTTGGTTAGGGTTGGCGTTAGGGTGCCTGGGGGAATCCTTTGTAGGGAGGTGTTAGCTGGCCCTGATTGTTCCTTGTCTGGAATTCCCTACATTTTGAGTCTAGCTGTTTATTTACTGTTCCAATCTAAGAGTTGTTTTTAAAATACTGGGACCTGGATTTTTTTTATTTTGGGAGGGGGAGGAGAGGCTGGAACCATCATGTAAACAAACTGGACATCCATACTACACCCCAATATACATGACAGCAAGTCCCATCATTCCCCACATGCCTTGGTCCTTGGTGGGAAAGGATGATGGGGTTTGCATGGATGCACATGACAGGAAGAAGAGTATGGGGGCCCCTAAGGCACAGAATAGGATGTCTCTGCCCCAGCATTCTGATCACAATGGATCTCCCCCTCCCCAAAAGCAAGCCTGCCAATGAAAAGCAATGAAAAGCAACGCACCTCCATCTTGCCTTTTCTCCCCCTTCCCCAATCATTGATCCCCAGGAATGCCTGACTGTGGAGATGGAAGAGGAAGGGGTCCCTGGCTGTTCCCCTCCCTTGCAGCCCCCTCTTCCCCTTCCACTGGGCTTGCCTCCCCTCCAGGGACCCCACCCTTGCCCCTCCTCCCTCCCTCCCTCCCTCCTTCCCCCTCTCACCTGGCCGAGGCAGGGGGCCTCATTGCCCCGGGGCCTTTCCTCCCGGGGGCTGGGGCTGGTGCTGCCTCTGCAGCCGGTCCATGGCCCGCCTTCGCCTCAGTCCATGTTCCATGATGAAGGCTGACTCTCCCTGACATGTAACCATGTTACCCGGCAGCCGCCGACGTTCCGAGCCTCCCCATTGGGCGCCGCAACAAAGAAAGGCGGGACTAAGGGCCCCGGGAAGAGGCACGCGCGCCTCTCATTGGCCCAGCTTCCCCCAGTCCCGGGAAATCTGATCACTCGCCTTGGGAAAAGCCATTCCATCATTTATTATTATTATTATTATTATTATTATTATTATTATTATTATTATTATTATTATTATTATTATTATTAAGTAAGGTGACCTTTTGCAGCTGGCACATGGTAATTTTGTCAGCGCCGATTGTGTTTAAGTGCAGGCAAAGATCTTTAGGCACTGCCCCAGTGTGCCAATCACCACTGGGACCACCTTGACTGGCTTCTGCCAGAGTCTTTGCAGTTCAATCTTTAAATCCTCACGGCCCTGTTTACCTCTCCGAACGTATTCTCCCTTACGAACCATCAAGATTATTAAGATCGTCTGGAGAGGCCCTGCTCTCGGTCCCACCGGCCGCACAGGCGCGCCTGGTGGGGACGAGGGACAGGGCCTTCTCGGTGGTGGCCCCGCGACTCTGGAACTCTCTCCCACCGGAGGTCAGAACCGCCCCGTCTATCCTGACATTTAGGAAACGGGTGAAGACGTGGTTGTGGAGACAGGCTTTCGATGAATGAGACAACACCCTAGGATTTTGGATGGAAGATGATGTATATTTGATTTTAATATGACGACTGACCACCGTAGTTTTAAATATATTGTTATTTTAAATGTGTTACTGTAATTGTGAACTATGATATTTTACTGATTGTATGTGTTTTTATGGTTGGAAACCGGGCTGAGTCCCTCAATGAGGTGAGAAGGTCGGTATAGAAAACTTTGAAATAAAATAAATAAATAAATACTCATTTCATGTAAGCTTTTCCAGTTGCTTTTCGTCAATTCCACTGTCACTTGAGATTGCAACATCAACAGTCCATACTTGTTTTTCCATTTTCCATTATTATTATTATTATTATTATTATTATTATTATTATTTGAAACACAACTATGCTGGTGTATTGGATGACTCGTCAGACACTTCCCAAATGTCTAGGACTGTGTGATGTATCGGCGAATAATGCATGCAGATCCAAGTAGGGTGGCCTTTTGCAGCTGGCAGCTGGTAATTTTGTCAGCGCCGATTGTGTTTAAGTGCATGCCATGGTCTTTAGGCACTGCACCCAGTGTGCCGATCACCACTGGGACAACCTTTACTGGTTTGTGCCAGAGTCTTTGCAGTTCGATCTTTAAATCCTCACATAGTGTCAGCTTTTCCAGTTGTTTCTCTTCAATCCTGCTGTCACCTGGGATTGCAACATCAACAATCCATACTTTGTTTTTTAACACAATTGTGAGGTCAGGAGTATTGTGCTCCAAAACTCTGTCTGTCTGAATTTGGAAGTCCCAGAGTAGTTTGACCTGTTCATTTTCTGCAACTTTTTCAGGCTTTTGATCCCGCCAGTTCTTTGTTGCATGCAGATGGTATTTGTGGCACAAGTGCCAATGAATCCTCTGAGCAACAGCGTTATGCTTCTGCTTGTAGTCTGTCTGCGCGATCTTCTTCTTCTTCTACATCCGAAACGAGTTTTGAACCATTTTTTTTTACAAACAAGCCTATTAATGGCCCTTAAAATCCAGAATTTGTAATTTTTCAGTGGTTCCCAGTTGAGGAAACAATGGGTGTTGAAACTCCTTGTTGGGTTCCCAGGGAGAGATGAAGACAAGGTGATGGGTAACTAGGTGAACTTTCGCACTGATCGGGGATTAATTGCTGAGCAGAAGGGTTTATAGTCGAAGAAATGGGTGTCGTGTGATTGTGTTATCTGCCTGGAGGAATGATAAGATTAGCACCGTGTCCCTCCCAAGTGTGATTATGCCACTGTATATATGGGGGAAAGGTCACTCCTGAGTATCCATTGGTGGAACCCTCCATGACTATCCAGTCAGATCCTTCCTGGTTTTCGACAACAAGGTGTGCTATTTGGGTTTTACCCGTCTGTGTATTTCATTCTGTGTATTTCATTCCTTCTGCTCAAATATTGTAAATTGTATTTTTGTCTATTGAAATTTGTTAGATTAGGCCCAACCGTCTCATCGGTTAAGGTCATTTTGGCTGCTTATCCTGTCCTCTCTACCTTTAAATTTCCCTCAGATATATGAGAGTCACTTTATTTTAGAGATTCAACATAAAATAAAACAGTTGCTTTGATTTTGATAATGGCTTTAAAATGTGGCAGTGGAGGTGTCTTTAAAGTAGCCCAGAAGCATTTGCTTTCCTTTTTGTGCCTGATCGGCAGTGGCATAATCCGGTTTACGAAAGTCCCATTATCGGGATCAGAGGATTTTGGCAGCTAGACCTCAGATTCCCTTTATATCTGCCCCAGATGGCAGGAAGGGATGATGTAAAATGAACATAAATACTGAAGTTTTGGATGACATAAGGAATAAAGGCTATTATTTTTATCCCAGCATTTCAGGTTTTCCGAGTTCTTTTTCTATACCACACAGTGGCCTTACTCATGGAGCCTACAGCTGCATTTGGGATCAAGTTACCAGTGACAACATTCCTGGGGATTCGGGTATGATGAACTAATCTTACAGATATTCCAGTGTATGTCCATCTGTCAGTGACAACACATGTACAAAAACGTTAACCAACAAGACATGGTCAAGGATAATCAGTGACAATGTCACTGATTTTGAAACCTTCAGAAAGTTGTTTCATCATATCTAAATATCCTCCCAGACAAACACCATATTCTCCCAACTTTACAGAGATGAATACTGGAATACATATAGCCAAGCAACATTACATTATGGTTAAGATGACAAAGTTATTAATAACAAAGAGCACAAAGGCTAGGAAAGGCAATTTGTTTTTAATAATAATAATAATAATAATAATAATATTGTAGAAGGCTTTCATGGCCGGAATCACTGGGTTGTTGTAGGTTTTTTCGGGCTATATGGTCATGGTCTAGAGGCATTATCTCCTGACATTTCACCTGCATCTATGGCAAGCATCCTCGAGCCATAGATGTGCTGGCTTTAGCTTATAAAGCCCTAAATGGTTCTGGCCCAACTTACCTATCTGAACATGTCTGCCCTTACGAACCTTCCAGGAATTTAAGATCATCTGGGGAGGCCCTGCTCCCGATCCCGCCTGCCTCACAGGCATGCTTGGTGGGGACGAGGGACAGGGCCTTCTCAGTGGTGGCCCCTTGGTTGTGGAACTCCCTCCTTGGGAATATTAAATTGGCCCCCTCTCTCCTGACCTTTAGGAAAAGAGTAAAAACCAGGCTCTTTGAGCAAACTTTTGGAACCTCATTGTAACCAGATAAACTCAGCATTGTGAACAAATATGGAAATGCTTAACGATGCAAATGGACATGGATTTAAACCCAGATGTCATTGATTTTTATAGATTTAAATTACTTTTTATATGAATTTTATTATGTGATTTAACCTGTTTTAAACAATGTATTATGTGTGCTCGGCATCTAAGTGTTGCCAGTCTGTACGCCACGCTCTCTATGAGTTGCCTTGAAGCTGAAAAGGGCAAGATAAAAGTGTGGCTAATAAATAAATAAATAAATAAGCAATACAATAGTAGTTACTTGTAAATATTTAATCTGGAAAGGGGGAGTAAAACCAAGTTACATTTAAATATACCAAAACAATGGGGAAAGTGTTACTTTACTAATATAAAGAGTAGCAATTTCTATTAATTTCAAAAATTACTTTTAAAGGGTATTTAAGAAGCACTTTTTGACAAATGTTTTATGCATTATGCCATTTTGTTCTCAATCCTGTTTTTTAAAAAGCACCACAACAAATACAGGAAATTACTCTTCAACATTTCAGCACTGGCTGCAGTAAGCTAAACACTTGGAGATCTAGCTCTAGCCCTTGTATTCTTTCTTGTAAAAGACATCCAACCTCTCTGGTGCTTTAGGATTCAGTAACACCCTCATTTTATGTCCATGTTAATCTCTAGTTCCAAGCAGGCCATGGGGAGCTCAGCAGTTGTCTCAGCTAGAGAAGCCTTCTCAGTATGCAATTGCTGAACCCCTTCATTAAAACATGAGTTCCAGCAATAGAGACCATGGAGGTATTGTTTCAAGAACTCAAGTCAACCAGCTGTGTGGGTCTGTTGTGATGCCCAGTGTGTATTTCTAGCAGAAAGAAGCATTTGGAGAAAGCACCATGAACAAAGATGTTTCTCATGGCAATGAAATTTGCTGTGTTTTACGGATTTTCAGCCCCATTAAATCCTTGGCTTCTGTCGGTGGTAACAATGAATGAAATGCAAGCGATTTTCAAACCAAATGTATACTTTGTTATCATTGTCTGAATGGGGGGGGGGGGCAACTAAATGCAGGTCAACTTGGACAAGGGGTATTTCTCAGTTTTGGAGCATACAGCTTACATACAAGAGGTCCCAAAATTCAGCACCCATAAATCCCACATCTTCAAGTAGAGCCAAAAGATATCTTTAAACCCCTGTCAGTCAATAGCAATAATACCAGAATGACATGACATGACACATGGCAGCTTTCTGTGTTCTTCGTTCAGGTTTACTATAGGATTCCCCCCCCCCCCCCGAAGTCTGTGAGGCTTTTTGTAATCCAATGGTATAGAAAAATTGTGGTTCTTTATTATTTTTATTTAGCTATATTAAATAGCTAAATAAAAATTGCCTTTTGGGGGGAAATTGTGAGTATTTTTCAAACCATGGATGGCACAACTCAGGGATGCAGAATCTGTGGATACAGAGAGCTGACTGTGCATAGAATATGGTCACTGCATTATTAGTACAAGCTGGCGAAAAGAGATGCTGCCATCTACTGAACAACGACCAAGTAGCAACAGTAAGAAGAGACCACGGAACAACAGACTGATTCAGTATTGGGAAAGGAGTATGGCAGGGCTGTATAATCTCACCCAACCTATTTAACTCCTATGCAAAACACATCTTGTGACGTGCAGGGCTTGATGAATTCCAGTTAAAATTTCTGGC